TTCCTTGATTAGTGTCATATCATATGACTCATCACTGCAGAAAATTCTAGTCCATTCGGTGAGATTCTAGGTCAAAACTGCCTAGAACCATTACAAACATGCTTGTTCACATGTGCAGGTAATTTTAGTCAGCTCAATACATGTTGTGTGAACATCTGAGTCGCCTGAAGTTTCACTAGTAGCAACACAAATTTAAATGTCACCTAAAATCAACAACACTGTTATTGAATTTTTGCTTTTGCAAAACCATTATCATAAAAATATTGCCTCTTCGAGAATGCTTTCATCTTTGGGCAAAGATAAAAGAAGCAAGCTTGACAGAAAAGATTAGTAAACAATGAGGGTACTGGTGGGGTATTCTCGTGTATGTTTAAGCCAGACAACAGAAGAAGAAAAAAAAAATTACTTGTGCGCCAGAACACTGTCGAAAACGGAGCCAATTCTCAACTTCTAACTTTCTATGTGCTTGCTACTAAATCACAAAAATTCAGATAATATTTATTAACCGCAAAATCAAGTAGAATGAACTTGGAATAAATGCATAAGTTAATAACTATCTCTCAGCACAGATTGACATCCACAGAAATTATGGATACTTGGCGACACAGAATATTGATATTTGGTTTGAGAGTTATAAAGCAAACATTACATTTAAATTTCATGATGATATTATGAAAAACAATAGATCCCTTGTCAACTGCCTCCATGAGATCAACACAAATACTCTAATCATTCCTGAGAATGGATATAGGTTAAATTAGAAAAACTATTGGATGAAAATACTCATGCAGCTTTAAAAGATGCTATCAAAGATATCATTAACAAAGAACTAGAGATGTGTTTTAAACAGTTATATAGTCATTCACAGAAGATTGTGACTATGAAGGATATATCCTGAATTTTTGAAAGCAGCATGGTGCTTACCACCAATATATATAAATTATATTAAAGTGTGGGAGTTAGTATTACATGTACATTTCAAAACTGGCTGTATTATTTCAATACTAGCCTTGGTAAATATAGCACAGCATATAAAATAAAATATATATTACACAAGTTTCAAATTCACCAGTTTAAAGGACTAAATAGGAAATCTTTATAATTTTTTTAATTAGTTAAGATTGTTAAATTCTGCAGTCACAATTTAGTCCTGTTTGGTTCATCACTTAGTTAATCATATCATCCAACTACTGATTTATCTCTGTAGTGAAAAAAGTCATTCCACTGGTACAGTTAATACTGATAATAACAACATTAATTAAATAAATTTTTCACTTATATTCTTTTGAAAATTAGTATTTGTACATGGTATTAGGTAATTGTAAATGTTTATTTTCTACCTGAAGCAACAAATAAAGTACAATCTATTCAAATATTTCTTAATAGTGTAAAACACTTTAGGAAAATTAACAATTGAAGAAGATACTTTGTCTTTATTTAGAAAACTCGCAAATTCAAATGTATTATAAAAACAAAATTTTCTACATTGATGTATTATAATTTCACAATACACATACCCAATTTCATATTTTTCAATGCGCATTCTTTCCCTTGGGAAAAAAAGTACTTTCGAGTACTAGCTATTTATGCTTTTTGATTGAAGCAAACTGAGATATTGCTGTTTTTGTTTTTATGATAAGGACTTTTGAATTGCAATTTGTATTGTTTGAAAGAAGAAGAAATATCCATGGATAACTCTGCTTCTCTTATTTAGATTTAGCAATTTTACATAATTTTACCTGGTATTGGCAGATATCTAAATCTTAAAGTGACAATTTTTGTTTTTTGAACAAATTTTATGATTTATAAGTCTATTTAAAATTCCATTGCTTTTATTACTGCAGCTATATACAGCTTTGCAGGCATCTTCTTTTGTCCAAAATGAAGATCTCACCAAGATCTAAATTTGTTCTATAACAATATTTTTCAGATTTCAAAATTGATAAAAAAAATAGCACAATGAAGTTGCTAAATTCATTCTTGGTTTAAACATTTATTTTGTCACTGAAAAATTTATTTATTTTGTGACAACTGGGGGGGAAAGACACTTTTTTTGACATTATAAACAACAAAACAGCTAATGAATTTTGTATTTATGTAGTTAAAAAAAGTCTTCTGCTCTTAATTTCTTATACAGTGTGTTTCAAAAAGAATATACGTATTTCGAAAACACATATTTTTTAAACTATATGACATACAAATATAAACTTTACACACGTTCGAAGCTCTCAAGTTCAGATTACAGATGTTCAATATGTTCTCCATCAGCGACACGAACAATATCACATCGATACTCGATTTCCTCCCATACTTGGGCAAGCATGTCCGTTGTCACTGATGTTATGGCAGTATGGATCTGGTTCTTCACCTCTTCCAGGTTCTGTGGGAGTGGTGAAACATAAACATTGTCTTTAATGAAACCCACAGGATGAAGTCACAGGGTGTCAAATCCAGTGACTGTGGAAGCCAGCTAAGTCGAGTTTGAGACATGCTAAGTCGCCAGCTCCTTGACGACCAATCCGATGGTTCGGTAGAGTTTCATTCAGATAATCATGCACTTGGCGATACCAGTGACGGTGTGCCCCGTCTTGTTGAAAACTTAAGTTGTCTTCGTGCAGCCTCGGAAACAACCAGTTTTGTAATATAGTGAGCTACTGCTGACCGTTATCCGCGTTTCCATCAAAACACATTGATTTTGTGCCAATCTTGAATATGTTCAATGGCTGCATGTGGGTTCTGTAGGCCCCAAATTCGAACATTTTGTCTGTTTACATGACCACCGACGTGAAAAATCACTTCAACACTGAACATGACGTGTTGTGCGAAAGTGTTATCATTGTCAATAGTATCAATAATCTTGTTACAACAAACGTTTGAGTTTGTCATCAGGATGCAGAGCCTGTAACAAATGTAACTTGTACAGCTTCATAACCAACCAATGTCTCAAAACATGCCTACAACTGCCTACAACAAATCGTTGTTGTAGGCAGTTGTAACTCCTGACTGGCACGACAAGTTGATTTTGAAGGACTACATTGAAAAGCAGTTTGAATTCGTGCAAAGTTTTTGTCGGGAACACATGGGTGACCAGGACTATTTCCTTTACAAACTGTCAATATCATCTGCGAATGTTCCACCCATTCAGAGGATTACTTTGGTACCTTAACTTGAAACGTCTTTGCACTGTAATCACAGAATTGCACTTCGCAAACTCGAGAACACAAAATGATTTCTACTGTAGAGTAGCCATTTTAAATATGTGACAGTTACCACGCAAAACAGAAGACAACTCATATCTAACGGTTATTAATATAAATTAGACTATGTATTCGTTTCGTCAATAGCCGAGCCGAGAAGCAGTACTCGCTAGTTTGGTCAAAATAACACTTTGTAATACTTATATTCTTTTTGAAACACGGTGTACTTTTTTGCCTTAAGAAATTTTTTAAAATAAATATCTGCAAATTATGTCCTTTAAAGGCATTTCAGTTTTATTTTTATCTGCACTTCAAACTTTTAGAAGATACAGACAGAATATTCTGTCATTTGATATTTTGGAAGATATTCAGGAACACAGATTAGATAAATATAATATAAAGTACAAAGTAAACCTAAATGCAGAAAAAAATTACCTCTAATTTACTACGAAATAAAAATAAATTGCACTAAATTCATTTGTAAAAAATAAATATTATTTTCTTGTAGCTATAATATGACAGTATGCTATTTGCCAATTTTCTGGCATTGTAAGAGGAAAGAACAGAATGGGAACAGTTTTCATTTGCCCATGTTTTGCAAAGGAATGCAGTATACTCTTCAGTATGCAGAATGCCACCCTGTTGACATGCATAAATAATATTTTGAAAGTAATGACATTTAAAATGTTTTCATATAATTAAATATGGTACATAAGCACTACATTTTGCATTTATTATGTATAATGGACATCTATACACATAAATTTTCTTGCTTAATGGTATTAGATTTCTGTGATCAGATAAGAAAGGGTTCTTCGTAAATACTCCATTTGAAACAAACTGTCAGGCAGGAGTGCAATTATAAATTCACACAGATAATCTGCACAGTGATTCATGAAAGATGCTGCGTTTGAAAGAAAGTATATCTCTTTGAAATCAGTTATGCCAGTTGTAATAATACACAGGAGTCATTATTCTACTTATTGCTATTGGTGGGATGATGATTTATTTTGCACTAACTGTGAGTCAATTGTACAGTTAGGCTTTTGAAAAACAAGAAAATTACTCATCAAGATATAATAATTAATTATGAATTTTAATTATGTGAATGCTTAAATGGTATCTATTTGGCATGAGATGCAAAACGATTCATGGTAAAATTATTAAAGTTTATGCATTTTGGAATTAATATTTCATTTTCCTTAATATTTTACATCAATAATTCTAAAAATGAACAGTACTGAAGGGGGCAACTGAAGCTCCAAGTGATATTAAACAATGTCATACAATCAGTGGTTGATGGATGTAATAGTGTTTATACATCTGTACTAAAATCTGTTTGGCTATTTTTCCAGGAATATGCTGCTCACATCTGATATATGCAATCATAACATGATCTAATCAACATAATTAAAAATCTTCAGCTTGTCAATAAAATGAATATTATTTCATGCTTCCATTTAATAATAAAATTTCCTTAAAAAAATAAATAAGTTTGAATAAAAACTTTTTTTTGATTTGAACTATACGTAAAATTTCGTGGAATATGAAGATTTTTTTTATAAAGGAAACCAAGCAATACAAATTCGATATTTCCCATAAAAAATTAAACACTTAATTCAATTTAACAGCATAAGTTACCCCCCCCCAATATTAGAATAAAATTAACCTATCAAAAACAAACTTATTTTAGGTATAAAACTTATGATAGTTATTTCAGAGTAAGAATTTTACTGGATACATTTTTAATGTGAATTATAGAAGATTAAGAAGCAAATAAACTAATCATGATAAACTGCTAACCTTGATGTCGTCTTGTCTTATACGTTCTAATTACTTCTTCCTCATCTGAGCTAGTCCCCCTGCACAAAAAAGAGAATGATTAAAAATAAAGCTTACCTGAAACATTTTCTTTAGAGCAAATATTATAAACGAAACAAGTCTTACTCTTTTGAAGTGGCTTCAGACTCTGACTCATCATTTATAAAATCACTCATATCCTCATCATCATCTCTGAGTAACTTAAAATAAAAAAAAAAAAAGATTATACAATAAAAATTATTAGTAGAATTTTATCATGAACATAAATTAATAAAAGAAAAAAAGTAAGCTACAAACTCAGTGTAATAATTAATTTTGCTGCTTTATAATTCAGACAAATTTTATCGTAGTATGAATTTCTGTTGTTAGTTTTCATAAAATTGCCAATTAGCATTTTCAGAGTTTTTAATTAATATCTCATGCAACCTGCAGCAACCAGTTCATAAATAAGTTTTTTGTTGCCAAATTAGTAATTAATTTAAATTATGTCATACATAAAGCATATTTTTGTCAAAAATTCACTTTAACATAACCACAAGAAAAAATACTGACATTAAATTTGGAAGGGCAAGGTTTTAAATTAAAAATTTTCTTTGTTTACATTCAAAACTGAACATGGATTGCTAAAATACTACTGCATATATTGGGATAATAAAGACAAAAAGACCACCTCAGAGAAATTAGAACATGGAATGTGAAACACACTTGGATAATATCAATTGAAGAGGAAGCTACAATTTCTGTATTAGTAGATGAATACTATATCTACTCTGTTGTTAGTAAATAGAATCCTAAATAGAAATCTTAAAAAAGAATCATATTTACTAACAAATACAAAATCTTAAATAGTTACTAACAATATAACTATTTGATAACAACAGAGCATAAAATATGAAAATGTAATAAAAATATTTGTCTGACATATTAGTACTTACTCATTAACAGACACAATTATGAACAGATTTTCTATCTAAATAGCCAGTATTCAACATGGAAATGAAAATAATCATTACAATGTGTTATATTCATAAGTCAAAATATGTTATATTTTATGTTTTTGATGACTGCCATCTTGTTTTTATTTATTTTTTTATCAGTCTATTCAGTCATTCTTTGCATTTGATATATTCATTTACCCGACAAGGAATTATAAGTTGTGCATTTGTTTATTTACTTATTCCTTATTGTATTCCTTACTTAGATGGTACCATAGATTTACATTTTCATAGAAGATATAACAGGTTACAATATTTATACTTCTCAACAGCAGGATCTGATGTTCATTATCCAATACAATATGTTTAAGAACTTTAATTTATTTATTGATTTTCTTAGTATTTTTTTTGGGGGGGGGGCTTACAGTAATGAAATCAAGAAATGTATTCTAAAATCAATGTCTTAAATTTGCAAAAATATTGCAAAATCTCAAAAAAAGGGGGAGGGGAATGTTTTAAAGCAAGCAATATTATGGTAAATGCAATATTTTATAACAGTAATTACACAAATGGAATTTATATAAATATTCCTAGTACTTAAGTAAGTTAGTGGAAGTTGCCAATTTTTCAGAATGTGCCGATTTATGGCAACCATGCTCAAAACAACTCTTCAGTCAAGCAATGTCACTATTTTTGTATGCATTCCTATTTGTTGCATTTTAAAAGTTAAAACAGTTTTATAAACAAATCATGATTTTTTTTCTTCTTTAAACTTAGTTTTAAAATATGAGCTTGAGGAATTTGCCACTAACAAAAGAAATTGTGGTAAAATTTCTGCTGGAATATGGAATTTTGATGAAAAGGGAACCAACAGAAATTGCATTTCCTAGATTGCCGCTGCTGGCTGAGGATTGACTTTCTGATGTTTTTTTAAACGAAGTAGATTGCTATGTACTTCGGGTGAAGAACAGAGCCAAAACAAAAAAGCTACATAAAGTTTTGGAAAAGAAGGGAAGTGTTTTATTTTTTTAATGGATCCCATAATCCTAATTTAATAAATCAAATTTGTATTTTAAATAGCTACAGTGTACTTTCTTTTCATATGTTGATAATATTTTTATGTGTAGATATTTACTGACTTATGATAAATATCGATAATTTGGGAATCTTTCTAAAAAATGCTGTGAAAACCACCAGATTGCACCTGATATGTAACTTTTACCATATCATCTGTAAAAAATCACCAAATTGTGCCAAGATGGTTGCCTTAACAAGTAAGTACCATATCCAAAATAATATGATTTTTATCATAAATATGCATCCTTTCTGATGAGATCACAAAACTTTAATATAACACTTTAAGACTTAAATTTAAGAAAAGAATACATTACATACCCTTCTTTTCTCCTGCTGCAAAAATTGTGTATGACAAATATAAGGATGAATACATAGATTTCTCATTACATTGTAGTCATTAAAAAGTGTTGAACCTTGCTTTTTTTCAAGATTTCTTTGCGATTTATTTTCTAAATACCATCGATACATTTTTATCTGGACATCACTTAATTTAACACTTATAACAAATTCATGTTTGGGAGGCAGAAATTTTGTCAAAGCTGAATAGTCACACCTCTGAAACACACAAAAAAATTTTTTTAAAGTTTCAAACTGATTAAAAACTGAAAGAATATCATTGCAGAATTACAGCAGCTATGAAAAATGACTTACCTGAACACATCCATCCAGAAGTTTATGAAGAATATGAATTCGTTTCTTCATAATTTTAACATCATAGGCTGTAGAATCATCATACTGTCCATTTATTATAGGATTAACAAATCGATTTCTGAATTCTTTTGCTGTACCCAAAAGATAAGGCTTTACGAAGCTCAACATGCAATGATCTTTAAGTAAACAAACAAATCAAATGGCGCATTATAGTAAAACAGAATAATGAAAAAATATATAAATTTTTATCAATCATACTGGCGATAATTTTGTATTATGCATTTATACATAGCAACTGCTTTATATTTGCAGGCAATATGCTCTAAAACTTACCACAGATATGTAAACTGCTGATAACAATAAATATATAAAAGAGGATATTTACCTAACAAACAAAAATGCAGTCAAATTTCATTGACAAATTATGAGCTGTAAGATATTGCCAACAAAAAAGTTACAATAAAGTACACGGTAAATTGTACAATAAAATACAGGGTGTTTATAAAGTCCCGGACCCATTTTGATGTTTAACAACTCATAAAATAATGAAGATATAAACAAACTTATGGCATTTATTGATGGAATAACTTATTTATTTTCCTTTTCAGGCTTGAATATCTTTACTTTTGTAAATATCGTCTGTGCATGTTATTAATTTTAGATAATTTCATTTTCCAGTCTAAATATCTGTACTTTTCTAAAGATCGTTTGCTTATTAATTGCATTTTTGTCTCTTTTGTTTTTTGCAACTATTGCAATGTTATGTTTACTTTTGATGTGTTAGTTCTAGTATACACAAAGCACAAAGGCACAAAGGGATTCCCCAAAGGTTATTGTGTGGTGTGGACTAATGTACGACCGAGTCATTGGGCCTTTCTTTTTTACAGAAAAGACGGTCTCATCAGTAATATAAAGACATGTTGGAAAAATTCATATTTCCCCAACTAGAAGAGCTTCAGCCACATGTCTTTTTGCAACAAGATGGTGCACCACCTCATTGGGGTACCATCGTTCGTAGTTCTTTGAATGACTATTTTACAGGAAGATGGATTGAGCGAAGAAGTCCAATTCCTTTGCCACCCAGATCACCTGATATAACGCCGCTGGACTTTTTCCTTTGGGGATTTGTAAAGGACAACGTTTACAGGAGGAGAATGCCGAACATTGATGACCTAAAAGCCAGAATTACAACCACAACAGCCTCTGTGGACACTGACATGCTTGCCGGTACTTGGCGTGAAATTGAATATCGACTTGATATTTTCCATGCGTTGAAGGGGGCACACATCAAAGTTCATTGACAAGGGTCATGAAACTTTTTAAGTCTATCTAACCATTTATGTTATTAATTTTAATCTATCTTTATTATTTTATGAATTATTAAACATCAAAATGGGTCCGGGACTTTATAAACACCCTGTACATTGTGCACTTCATTAAATTTTAAGCTATTAAATAAAATAATAAAAAATATACTCTATGCTGCATTACACTCATATGTATAAAAGTAGGTAATCTGACATTTTAACTTTATTTGCAAAAGATAAATAACTGCCCTACAAGTTTATAGCGAACAATAATTTATCACCATGGGATTTATTGAATGGGTTCAGTCATCTTTCCAAGTGAGGGAAAATGTGAGACATTTTCTTTCTTCCTATCGCATGACTTCATGGTGTAACTGGAAACACAAATTTAAAAATTAACTGGTACATGCAGATATAAGAAAGCTAAAAATGAGACGAAATACTCTAGGTTGACATGATGGAATTCTGCTGAAACACAAATAAAAATACAGGAGCTTCTGAAGACAACCCATCTGTTTTGTCAGCTGGAGCTGGAATAGATGGCCTCATCACATTGTCTTTTATTGATTTCCGCAGAATTGCTACCTGGATATTTGGAAGACTGATAGGAATTTTTCTGATATTTGGGACTTTTCTACATACAATATCATCAGTTTATAACTTGTAAGATGACATGTACAAATTATAAAATTAAAAATATGAAATCATGATGCATGAAATAATGAAGTATATATGATATAAAGGGTAATAAAATTTACAAAAAGAAAAGCTTAATATTTATTTGTTTACTTTATTAAACATTTCTTTCAATGCAAGTTGTTTCCTTTTTTGTGCTAATAGATTCTCTTTAAATCTACAGACACATAATTTCTTGTTCAGTTACAAAGTAACATTGTTCAAGACTTTTGGCTGCTGTGTCGAGAATTCCGACGAACTTGTTAAATGAAATGTTTTTGTTTTCAATAACCTCTCTATCACTTTCTTCACCATTAGTAGCAGAATTTTCTGGGTCCAGAACCATATCACAGATTTTACTATCCGTTAATTGATCGATGATTGGAGAACTGTAATTACGATGAAAAACTCCTATTACATCACCTCATTTATTACCGCTTCTCCACATTTCTTTACAAAATCCATCCATTGGAAAATTACAAGGTTCATTTGCAATATCCGAAAACCTTCAGATTCATGACTATCATCTTCATCATTCTCAAACATGAAATCTGGTAGCTGGACATAAGTCTTCCATGATCTTGTGGTGCTCAGCAGATTTTATGCTAAAATGTTTCGAAAATTCTTGAATAGTCTTGCATGAAAGTGCAAGTTGGCAAAAAAAGCTGAACAACGCGCGGACACAAAACAAAAACTAAATGCGCACACGCGACCAAAAAAAAAAAAAAAAAAAAAAAAAAAACTTTTTAATAAAATATCAACCTTTTAATATAAAAATTATTGTTTTGTATTAGCTGAGAAATGCTTGGCGCCAGAGCGGAATCTTGGCTAATGGCACATGCACCATCAGAATTGGCGCTGAAACATATTCTGTGAGAAACTTGATTTTTGTGTTACATTGGAAGTTGCGATTCATATGTTACTCTGTGAGGTGAAACCTAGCGCCAGAGAGTCGCTATGAAAAATTAATGTATTGAAAATTAGAGCGTGTTATTTCTGTGTAATGTGTGTGGTGTTATTTTATTATGATACATAGCTATCGATGGGAAACAGAATAAGTCAATTCAAGTTTTTTTGGTCTGTCGAGCCGGAGCAGCTAATGAAGTTTATGAGACTGTGAATTTACTTTCGGTTTTGTGAAACGAAGAATTACATAGGATACTTTCAGATTGAAGTTCTGTAGAAACAAAAGGGTAAGTACCCTTCCCCTTTCTGAAGCTCATTGTACCTTTTTGAAGCTCTTTATTTGTTTATTGACTTTTGCTAATTAAAATATCACTAAATGTAGGTATTAGCGAAAAAACGTTACATTAAAAAACGCAGTTTAATGAAGTTAAAAACAAAAGGTTGCGGACGAAAATGTCCAAGAAAGTGACTTGGAAGTACTGAAGAATAAGTTTAAAGTGTTTGAGACAGAGATAAATTATAATTTCGATTCTTTGTTCAGGTTATGTACGGAAGAAAGTATTGATGCTTATGTAAAAGAGAAAGAAGAGATTAACGATATTCTCTTAGATGTAGATGTCGAATTAAATCGTAAATTAGCTAAACTTTCCAAAGAAATTAAATCGGAGTCTTCGGTTTGCACGAATACTGAGAACAATGTTAAATTACCCAAAATAACTTTGCCAACGTTTTCGGGTAACTTACATGAGTGGCTTTTATTTAAAGATATCTTTTTAGCCAAGTGTTGATTCAAATTCTATTTTAGCATAGATGCAGTCAAATTACAGTACTTTAAAATCTGCGACTAAGAGGAGAATACTTATCGTATTGTGCAATCAATATCCATAGTTGACTCTAATTATAAATTAGCCTTTTCATTACTAGAAGAAAGGTTCTCTAATCCAGTGAAACAAGTGTATGCTCATCTGAGACGATTTATGAATATGCATCCTATGCAAAATGAGTCTGCGTCAGCAATATTAAACTTAATTGACATTACAAATAAATGCGTCAGATCATTAGAAGTTTTAAATCAGAGTGTTAATGGTTTTTCTTCCAATGTATTTGCATACATTTTAGGGCAAAAATTAGATCCTAACACGAAAATATGGTGGGAAAGAAAATTAGAGAAAGAGAATTTGCCTAATTTAACAGATCTTATAGAATTTCTTAAAGAACATGCAAGAACTCTCAACGCTTCAAATAGTGTGACTAACACAAAAAAAAAAAGTTACACATAGAGTTACCGCTGTCATTTCTAATGCAAATGAAAAACATATGCAGGATTCGTGTAGGTTATGTAATTTGAGAAATTACAAGCTTTTTAATTGTCCTAAATTTCAGAAATTAAGTGTAAAAGAAAGGGTAGAATTTGTGAAAAAAAAAAGAATTTATGTTTTTGTTGTTTTAATTTGCACGGTGTGAGAAATTGCCGTTCTAATTACTTGTGCAAGAAGTGTAAGAAAAAACATAGTTTTCTCTTGTGTTATCAAAACGAAAATAATTCCGTTGGCACCACAGTAGAAAGAGCAGACACTTCAGATCAGGAGTTGGGTGATCAAAACAGCACTGCGTTAAATGTATATGCACCTGCATTTCAAGCTAAAACTCAAAACGAAACCTTTACAGCCGCTACAGTGGAAAAACGTGATTTTATCTACTGTCTTTGTATTCATTGAGACTAATGATGGAACTTTAATTAAGGTGAAAGCGTTCTGTGATAGTGGAAGAGTTTCTTATTTTTGTACCACTGAATTAGCAGACATACTTAATTTAAAAAGGGAAAAGACAAATATTTCGGTTTGCAGTATATCAGGTATTTTAACTGCAATAAAAAGAAAAACAGTTGGTAATTCCAAAAATAGCAGGTTTAACTCCCACAAAGTTTATCGATGTTAGCAACCTTGCGATTCCTGAGAAGGTGAATTTAGCGGATCTGGAATTTTATATACCAGAGAAAGTAAACCTGTTGCTTGCCGCGGAAATTTTTTATGATATGTTACGAGCTGGTAAAATCTATGTTCCTAACACAGGCTTGATATTACAAAATAGTGTGTTTGGATATATAGTTAGTGGAAATATAAATGATTCACAAAGAAATAATTTATCGTATTGTGGGTTAATAAATGATAATTCAGAGAGTGAAGAGTGAATTGAAAATGTTTTTTGAAATAGAATCATTAGGAATTAAAGATGATCCTTATTGTCATGAGGAAGACAAAGCATTCGAAATATTTAATA